GAGTTGCCAATCGCGCGCTCTTCTGCCCACGCGTCCCTCTGGATGCTCGGCTTAGTGGTGGTGGTGGGGGGGGGGTAGTGGTGGTGGTGGGGGGGGGGGGGCCGATGACCTGGGATCGGCGACACACCGCCGATTGATCAGCGACGGGCCCCCGACGCCAAAGTGGGGCCCGGGGCCACGTGAGACATGGGTGATGGAGGGCCCCATGCCCCAATGCTTCCCCCACCTGGGCCAGTCCCCCGTGCCGTGGCCAGTCCCCATATCATCCCAGAAGAAGGCTCTTGGATCGGCGCTGGACTCCCTCCCTGGCGCGCACAGCGCGCCAGGGGCGGCGCCGGAGGCCCCTCCAGGGAGATCCGGCGCAGATCACTGAGCACGCGCGAGCCTTCGAAAAGTCTCAGACTTTCCAACGTCGCGACTGGGCCTTCGCGAGTGGGCCTTCGCGAGTGGGCCTTCGCGAGTGGGCCGTCGCGACTGGGCCTTCGCGAGTGGGCCCTCGCGAGTGGGCCCTCGCGAGTGGGCCTTCGCGAGTGGGCCCTCGCGAGTGGGCGCGCGGGCCTTCGCCCGTGCCCGTGGCGCTCCCTGGAGTCTGCCCGTCGTTGCCCCGCCACCCGGGATGCCCGTGCAGTGCCAAGCAGTGCCAAACACTGCAGTCGAGGCCAGGAAATACCAAGCGACGCCAAGCCACGCCAAGCAGCGCCAAGCTGGGCCAGGAAATGCCAAACAGTGCCAAGCAATACCAAGCAATCCCAAGCCAATCCCAAGCAGTGTATGCCAAGTAATGAAAACCAATGCCGAGCAAGGCCAAGCAACAACAAACAACGCCAAGTCAGGCGTTGGAAGGCCAGTAAAAAGCAACGCCAAGCGGTGCCAAGCAATGCCAAGCTTAGCCATGAAGTGCCAAACAATGCCAACAAATGCCGAGCAATGCCAAGCCAATGCCAAGCAAAGTCGAGCAGTGCCAAGAAATGCAAATAAGACCAAGTAAGGCCAGAAAATTAGCCTGACGAGGGACCCAACCATATACAGGTGTGAGTACCGCAATAGTGATTCACTTTTTCGGTGGCGATCCCTATGAGGCAACGAACCGTGCTAGGGGTGTGCCGACATGAGTGGCGTGGTACACAACGCGAACGAAAACGATTGATCTGAGTACGTAGGGAGACTGAGCGCGGGTGAATCTGCGCGCGTGCGTCTGACTGTGAATGAATCTGCGTGCGAACGAGTCTACGTGCATGAATGCGAATATGACAAAGCGTGGCGCAATTGTGTATGAATGTCAATAGTTTGACAATGTCTGCCTCTGAGTACTCGTGACGCTGGGCGTGGCCGCCGCAAGGAGCTTCCCCGGGACTCCCCGACGGCATCGCCCGCGCGCCGCGACGCCAATGTCGGCGCGCCCACCGGCGAGGATCGCGCCCGCTTCCTCCCCTTCCTTTACTCCCTCTTTGCCCGCGCACTCAAAAGTCCAAGGTTGCGGGCGCAGCGCAGCGCGGAGTCCCCGCGACGCGCGCAGGTCGCCCCGGAGGGGTCCCAGCGACGCGCGCGGGTCGTCCACTGCGCGGAGCAAAAAGAGCTAGCTGGCTGGCTGATAGCGGGCAAGGCTCTTGCCGCTGGGCAGAGAGACGACGGGACGCATGCGGGCACACCCACTGGGACCTTCGGTGGAGCTCCCTATGGGGCCACGGAACGTGTGAGGGGTGTGCCGAAATGGGTGTGCGGGACGCATGCGGGCACACCCACTGGGACCTTCGGTGGAGCTCCCTATGGGGCCACGAAACGTGTGAGGGGTGTGCCGAAATGGGTGTGCGGGACGCATGCGGGCCAAAATGAGTGTGCGGGACGCATGCGGGCACACCCACTGGGACCTTCGGTGGAGCTCCCTATGGGGCCACGAAACGTGTGAGGGGTGTGCCGAAATGGGTGTGCGGGACGCATGCGGGCACACCCACTGGGACCTTCGGTGGAGCTCCCTATGGGGCCACGAAACGTGTGAGGGGTGTGCCGAAATGGGTGTGCGGGACGCATGCGGGCACACCCACTGGGACCTTCGGTGGAGCTCCCTATGGGGCCACGAAACGTGTGAGGGGTGTGCCGAATGGGTGTGCGGGACGCATGCGGGCACACCCACTGGGACCTTCGGTGGAGCTCCCTATGGGGCCACGAAACGTGTGAGGGGTGTTCGTGTGGACTGGGCCTTCCCTATGGGGCCACGAAACGTGTGAGGGGTGTGCCGAAATGGGTGTGCGGGACGCATGCGGGCACACCCACTGGGACCTTCGGTGGAGCTCCCTATGGGGCCACGAAACGTGTGAAGGGTGTGCCGAAATGGGTGTGCGGGACGCATGCGGGCACACCCACTGGGACCTTCGGTGGAGCTCCCTATGGGGCCACGAAACGTGTGAAGGGTGTGCCAAAATGGGTGTGCGGGACGCATGCGGGCACACCCACTGGGACCTTCGGTGGAGCTCCCTATGGGGCCACGAAACGTGTGAGGGGTGTGCCGAAATGGGTGTGCGGGACGCATGCGGGCACACCCACTGGGACCTTCGGTGGAGCCCCCTATGGGGCCACGAAACGTGTGAGGGGTGTGCCGAAATGGGTGTGCGGGACGCATGCGGGCACACCCACTGGGACCTTCGGTGGAGCTCCCTATGGGGCCACGAAACGTGTGAGGGGTGTGCCGAAATGGGTGATGACGATGATGATGAAGATGGGAGGAGGGAGGGGGCAGCGGGAAGGAAGGAACGCGGGGCGACGTCTCTTCAAAACGAGGACCCAACACCACAGGATGGTTGGGAATTAGCCTGACGAGGGACCCAACCATATACAGGTGTGAGTACCGCAATAGTGATTCACTTTTTCGGTGGCGATCCCTATGAGGCAACGAACCGTGCTAGGGGTGTGCCGACATGAGTGGCGTGGTACACAACGCGAACGAAAACGATTGATCTGAGTACGTAGGGAGACTGAGCGCGGGTGAATCTGCGCGCGTGCGTCTGACTGTGAATGAATCTGCGTGCGAACGAGTCTACGTGCATGAATGCGAATATGACAAAGCGTGGCGCAATTGTGTATGAATGTCAATAGTTTGACAATGTCTGCCTCTGAGTACTCGTGACGCTGGGCGTGGCCGCCGCAAGGAGCTTCCCCGGGACTCCCCGACGGCATCGCCCGCGCGCCGCGACGCCAATGTCGGCGCGCCCACCGGCGAGGATCGCGCCCGCTTCCTCCCCTTCCTTTACTCCCTCTTTGCCCGCGCACTCAAAAGTCCAAGGTTGCGGGCGCAGCGCAGCGCGGAGTCCCCGCGACGCGCGCAGGTCGCCCCGGAGGGGTCCCAGCGACGCGCGCGGGTCGTCCACTGCGCGGAGCAAAAGAGCTAGCTGGCTGGCTGATAGCGGGCAAGGCTCTTGCCGCTGGGCAGAGAGACGACGGGACGCATGCGGGCACACCCACTGGGACCTTCGGTGGAGCTCCCTATGGGGCCACGGAACTGTGCCGAAATGGGTGTGCGGGACGCATGGGGCTTCGGTGGACGCCACGAAACGTGTGAGGGGTGTGCCGTGCGGGACGCATGCGGGCACACCCACTGGGGGTGGAGCTCCCTATGGGGCCACGAAACGTGTGAGGGGTGTGCCGAATGGGTGTGCGGGACGCATGCGGGCACACCCACTGGGACCTTCGGTGGAGCTCCCTATGGGGCCACGAAACGTGTGAGGGGTGTGCCGAAATGAGTGTGCGGGACGCATGCGGGCACACCCACTGGGACCTTCGGTGGAGCTCCCTATGGGGCCACGAAACGTGTGAGGGGTGTGCCGAAATGGGTGTGCGGGACGCATGCGGGCACACCCACTGGGACCTTCGGTGGAGCTCCCTATGGGGCCACGAAACGTGTGAAGGGTGTGCCGAATGGGTGTGCGGGACGCATGCGGGCACACCCACTGGGACCTTCGGTGGAGCTCCCTATGGGGCCACGAAACGTGTGAGGGGTGTGCCGAATGGGTGTGCGGGACGCATGCGGGCACACCCACTGGGACCTTCGGTGGAGCTCCCTATGGGGCCACGAAACGTGTGAGGGGTGTGCCGAAATGGGTGTGCGGGACGCATGCGGGCACACCCACTGGGACCTTCGGTGGAGCTCCCTATGGGGCCACGAAACGTGTGAAGGGTGTGCCAAAATGGGTGTGCGGGACGCATGCGGGCACACCCACTGGGACCTTCGGTGGAGCTCCCTATGGGGCCACGAAACGTGTGAGGGGTGTGCCGAAATGGTGTGCGGGACGCATGCGGGCACACCCACTGGGACCTTCGGTGGAGCCCCCTATGGGGCCACGAAACGTGTGAGGGGTGTGCCGAAATGGGTGTGCGGGACGCATGCGGGCACACCCACTGGGACCTTCGGTGGAGCTCCCTATGGGGCCACGAAACGTGTGAGGGGTGTGCCGAAATGGGTGATGACGATGATGATGAAGATGGGAGGAGGGAGGGGGCAGCGGGAAGGAAGGAACGCGGGGCGACGTCTCTTCAAAACGAGGACCCAACACCACAGGATGGTTGGGAAAAACAACTTGTGAAAAGAAATTCCGAGCAATGCAAAGCTAATATCATGCAATACCGAGCAATGCCAGGTAACGCCGAGACATCCAAAGCAATGCAAAGCAATACCAAGCAACGCAAAACAATGCAAAGCAATGCCAAGGCACGACAAACAATGCCAGGCAACACCCTGCAACGCTTTGCATTGCATTGCGTTCCTTTGTGCTGAAATGTTCTGATTTGACTTGGCAGAGAGAAAACCTCAAATTGGGGTCACCCAGGGTTCCTTTGCTTCTCGACCTCCTCCTCCTGCTCCTCCTGCTCCTCCTGCTCCTCCTCCCTCCTCCTCCTACCCCCCCTAGCGCGGCAGAACCCCGGCGTCCTCCCCGAGCAGCGCGGCGTTCTTCTGCCTCAGTTTCTCGGCCACATGGGCGGCGTCGCACCCCGCGCGCAGCTTTCGCAGCCTCGGGTCCCGAGCGGCGGGAACGACGACGGCAACGAAGACGACGACGAAGACGTAGATGAAAACGACGACGACGAAGGCTGAGACTAAGACTGACGACGAAGACGACGACGAAGCACGACGAAGCACGACCGACGCCGACGACAAAAGCAAAGACAAAGACAAAGGCAAACACGAAGACGAAGACGCAGGCCAAGAAGACGAAGACGAAGCCAAAGACGACAACGAAGACGCCAAGGACGTCGACGACGACGACGACGACGACAACGAACACGACAACCACAACGGCAAAGACGAAGACAAAGACGAAAATGATAACAACGACGACGACGACGAAGACGACGACGACGAAAACGAAGACGAAGATGACGAAGACGAAGAAAACAACGACAACGACGACAAAAAAGACGATGACGAAGACGAGGCCGATGAACACAGCGACGAAGACGAGACCGACGACGACGACGACGACGACGAAGGACGGCAAAGACGACGACGACCACGCTGAACACAGACGAAGACAACGACTACGAAGACGACGACGACGACGACGAAGACAACGCCGTCGTGATCGACGACGACGAAGACGACGACAACGACTTCGAAGACGACGACGACAACGGCAACGACGGCGAAGACGACAACGACGACGACGACGACACAGACGATGAAGCACGACGACGACAACGAAGACGAAAACGAAAACGACGACGACGACGCTGGTGGTGGCGGCGCTGTCGACGGCGACTACGATAACGCCATCGAGATCGACGACGACGAAGGCGCAGACGACAACGACTTCGAAGACGACGACGACGACGACAACGAAGACGACAACGACGACGACGACGACGACGACGACGAAGACAACGAAGACGACGAAGCACGACGACCACCACGACGAAGACGAAAACGAAAAAGATTATGACGACGACGACGACGGTGGTGGTGGCGGCGGCGGCGACGACGACGACGAAAACGATGATCACGACGACGACGACGAAGACGAATACGAAAACGACGACGAAGACGAAGACGAAGACGAAGACGAAGAACGACGAAGACGACGACGACAAAAACGACGACGACGACGACGACGACGACAACAACGACGACGAAGACAACGACGACGACGACGACAACGTCGAAGCACGACAACGACGACGACAACGTCGAAGACGACGACGACGAACGACGACGACGACGCCGACGACGACGACGACGCCAACGAGACCGACGACGACAACGACGAAGACGAACACGAAAACGACGACGACGACGACGCCGACGACGACGACGACGCGGAAGTGAGGGAGGGAGGGGGAGGACGTCCGTCGAACCCAGATTCGGCCCCGCCGAGCGGCGAGGGGGGGCACCACAACGTCGTCGTCGTCGTGGTCGTCACCGTCGTGGTCGTGGTCGTCGTCGTTCCCCTTTTCCTCCTCCTCCTCCTCATCCGCCCCTTTTCGAGAGCGGGGGATTCTGGGGTGGCGGTCGTCGCCCTGCCTGCAAACCCAGCCACCCGAGAACGGGGGATTCTCAAGTAGCGGTCTGGAGGCCAACACGCGGCACGCTTGATTGGTTAAATCACATTGGGGGGCACTGATTGTTTCAATCACTGTCAGCGCCCTGGGCCGACTGTGATTCAAAACAATCACATCGAGGGGCACGGATTGTTTCAATCATATTCAGGGCCAAGGCTCTGAGGCTTTGGGGGGGGGGGGAACGCCAGACCACCCCGCCTGATTTTTTTGTTGCCCCCCCCCCCCCTCCCCCCAAAGACCTCAGGGCCCTGGAGCCGAATGTGATTGAAACAGTCAGTGCCCCTCAATGTGATTGGCTTAATATATATATATATATATATATATATATATATAACCCTCAATCACACTGAGGGGTACGGATTGTTTCAATCATATTCAGGGCCAGGGCTCTGAAGCCTGGGGGGGGGGGGGGCAAACAAAAAAATACACGCCAGACCACCCCGCCCGACTTTTTTGTTGCGTTCTTTTTGTTCCCCCCCCCTCGAAAGGCCTCTGGGCACTGGGCCTAATGTGATTAAAGCAATCAGTGCCCCTCAATGTGATTGTTTTAATCTATGGCCCTCAATCACACTGAAGGGCACTGATTGTTTCAATCACATTCAGGGCCCTGGGCCTGATTAATTAACATAATTACGTTGAAGGGTACTGACTGTTTCAATCACATTCAGGGCCCTGGGCCAAAATGTGATTGATTTCAGGTATGAGGGGCGGTATGTATATATATATATATATGCGTGTAAAACCTTCACACTGGGGGGGTACTGATTGTTTCAATCACTTTCAGCGCCTTGGGCCGTTTGTGATTAAAAACAATCACGTTGAGGGGCACTGATTGTTTCAATCACATTGAGGGCCAGGGCTCCGAGGCCTGGGGGAGGCCCCCCCCAAAAAAAGAAACGCCGGACCGCCCCGCCCGACTATTCTGTGCGTTTTTGTTTTCCCGCCCCAAAGAAAAGGCGTCAGGGCCCTTGGCCTAATATGGTCAAAAACAATCAGCGCCCCTCAATGTGACTGTTGTATATATATGGCCCTCAATCACACTGAGGGGTACTGATTGTTTCAATCACATTCAGGGCCCTGGGCCTGATGCGATTAAAACATGTACGTTGAGGGGCACTGATTGTTTCTATCACATCCAGGGCCCTGGGCCACAGGTGATTGATTTCATGCATGAGGGGCGATATTTTATGTGTATATATTTAAAGCCTTCACATTTGGGGGCACTGATTGTTTCAATCACTTGCAGCGCCTTGGGCCGCATGTGATCAAGAACAATCACATTGAGGGGCACCGATTGTTTCAATCACACCCAAGGCCATGGCCCTGCGGCCTGGGAGGGGCGACAGACCACCCAGACTGACAGTTTTTTGCGTTGTTGCTTCATCTTTCTTTTGCATTTCCTCCCCACACACACACAACAAGAAAAAGCCTCAGCGCCCTGGCCCTGAATGTAATTGAGACAATCAGTGCACTTCAATGTGATTGTTTTAACATTCGGCCCTTAATCACATTAAGGGGTATTGATTGTTTCGATCAAATTCAGGGCCCTGGGCCTAATGTGAATAAAACAATGGCATTGAAAGGTACCAATGCCAAGCATTGCCAAGGGGCCTTGCGGGGGAGGTCTCACAGCCTGTGTGTCGAGGCCTCGCAGCTATTGGTGGAATGCTTCGGAGTCTGCTGGGCAAGCCTGCGGGGAAACCTCGTTGGATACCCTGAGCCTTTTGGGGGGCGCTCCAGGGCTGAGGAATTTGCCGTCTTGGCATGGGCAGCGCATTGTTGTTGATCATGCTTAGAATTGCTCGACATCGGGTGGTCGTGATTAGCGTGGCTTGGCATTGGTTGGTCGTGCTTTGCATAGCTCGGTCGTGCTTAGTCTGATGGCCGTGCTTGGAGTTGCTTGACATTGGCGGTCGGATGGGCATTGCTCGCCATTGTGTGGGGATTGTTTGGTATTCCTAGGCATTGCGTGGTCACGCCTTGCAGTACTTGGTCGTGCTCGGCATTGAGTGGTCTCACTTGGAACTGCTTGGCGTTGGTTGAACATGCCTGGGGCTGCTTGGCACTGGGTGGTAGTGCATGCCATTGTCTGCCACTCGCTGTCGTGCTTGGCATTGCCTGGCGATGCTTGGCATTGGTAGCCCGTCAGTGGCACTGCTTGGAATTGAACTGAGTGCCCCTGCTTGGCATTTGTCGGTCGTGCTCGACACTGGTTGGCCGTGCTCGGCATTTGGTGTTCGTGCTTTGCATTGCTTGGCATTGCCTGTTCCTGCTCGGCACAGCTTGGCAATGTGTGGTCGTGCTTGGCGTTCCCTGGAATAGATTGGTCATGCTTGGTGTTCCTTGGCAATGAGTGGTCGTCCTTGGCATTGCTTGGCATTGTTGGCAAAGCTATGCATCGCCTGGCGCTGATTGCCATTTTTACTGATTGTGTTTGGCGTTGATCGGCGTTGCGCATTTCGGCTTGGCCTCGCTTGGCAATGGGCGGTCCTGCTTGGCATTGCCTGGCATTGCTCGCTCATGATTGGCATCGGTGGGCTTCGTGCGGTCGTACTTGGCGTAGTCTGGCATTGGGTGCTCGCGCATGGCATTGCTTGGCCGCGCCTGGCATTGGCCGGTCGAGCTCGGCACTGCTTACCTTTGCTTGGTCGTTCTTGGCATTAGTGCCCCACCCCCAAGGCTTCTCGGGTAAGCCTTTAGGGCCTCTCGGGGCAAGCAATGCCAAGCAATGGCAAGCACGACCAACCAATATACAGCGATGCCAAGCACGGGCCACCAGTGGATCACCACTTGGGTGGCTGGCCCACCAATGGAATACCCCGGGGTGGCTGGCCCACAGACAGACATTCCTTGGAGTGGATGGGTTTACCAGCGTACCTCCCCTGGCCATAGGGGGCAGAAGGAGTCGCAGGAGCGGATGGTCCGAACTGGACCGCCCCTAGAGTGGAGGGCCCGCCAGTGGACTTTCTGGCGCGGAGAATTCTCTGGCGTGGAAATTGCACTAGTGGCCCCCCCTTGCTGTGGCATGCCCACCAGTGCCCTCGCACAACACTCGGTCTCCTTCCTGCTGCTGCACAGGCACGGTGGCGGGGTTTGCCGCGGGCAGCTTGATAGATATATATATATATATATAATATATATATATAATATATATATACACATATATATATACACATATGGGTCCTGGCCTATCCCCCCCCCCCCTGCTGGAATCGATGTTTCGTTTTGGAAGGATTTCGGCCCACCGCAAACGCTTCGCGCACGAATTGGTGGGAGGGGGGGGTCGTTTCGTATGCTCGGAGGTCCTTGGACACTCATCTCCTTGGCCAGGGCCCATATATGTCATATACAGGCATACTCGTGCTCTCCATTCCCCTCCACACGTTCCCTCACCTCGCTCTCTCAGCCGCCCCGTGGGCGCCCGCTCCGCCAGGGCAGAGATGATGGCGGGAGTTCG